GTAACAAAAAGAAAATACAAAAACTAATTTGATTATTTTTTTTTTTATTAAATTAAAAAAAAATCAGTTCAATGCTGGTAGCTCATAATCTTTATAATACTAATAAATGTATTGAATTAAAAATGTGGGTTTTTATAATCTTTAGATTATTTTTAAATCCGATTCTAAAAATAATGGTTTTGCCGTTCCTAAATTTAATAAGAACCATGGCCCATTATATTATTAAATTCTAATAATATCTCATCATCTAATAACTTGTTTTACCAAAATTGACAGTAAATTTCAATTTTAACATTTTTTTCATTCAAATTGTGTTAAATAATTCAATTAAAAGTAAATTGTTAAAAATCCTGTTATTTTGAAATTAATATTTAATGCTAACGAAAAAAAGTAAATATGATTATTTATTTTTTAATAAAAATTAAGTGTAGATATGCAAGGTACTTAAGTAAAACATTTTCCTGTTCAAGTCCTGCTTCAAATAAAATCTTTCGATTATTTTTCAAATGTAAATTTTTAAACTTATGTGCGCGGTGATGAATTGTTTTTTATAAGAGAGTTAAGTTGTAATGTTATTAACTGAGCTCTGTTAATAAGTTAACCGTATTGGAAAATTGTTCGAAAATTATAATACCTGAGGATAAGGTAATACCACCCAATGAAAGGTCTGCCTAGTGGCTTCCAAAATAAAGAAACTACGATGCCTGGGGATGCTTTGAATGGTAATTAATTAATCTACCCGAGGCTGTTGGCTTTTGGTACCAATCTAATAGCAACTTTTTTCCTTCTCTTTGTACTAAGCTATCTAGATATGGTAACTGATTATTCAATTCACTCTCCATCGTAAACCGTAGTTGTTTGTTGTACATATTCGACGTCTTAAGTGTATTTTCCACTTCCTCCTTTTTTACGATGCAAAAAATGTCGTCCACATATTTTGTCAAGAATCTTGTTTTCGATAGTCAATTTGTTCATAGTTTCGTCAAGAAGTTTCTCCATTATTATGTCAGCAATGATTGGTGAAATATGTGAGCCCATCGGCATGCCTTTTTGTTGTTCATATATCTTATCCTTATATGCGAAATATCTAGCGTCCTTAATACATGTTGTCAAAATGTCAATAAAAAGATCCATTGGTATATGTGTATTAAAGGCCTGCACAAGACGAATTGTATGAATTATGCTTTTTTCGACACACTGACTTTGTCTACTCAATCATGCGCTATGTATTTGATAGGCAATGACAACCAACAACATCCCCCATTTTGATTCATGTGTGCCATTGTCTAAGGTTCGATCGTGGCATGGCTGACTCGAATATTTGCATGGTGTTCTCCATAAATGCAGGGTGTCAACGATGACATCGAACCGTGTCATCGTAAAATTGTGTGTCATTTGTGTACGTGTGCTTAAATTGAGAGAGTGTGTGTGTGTTACTTTCGACGGTGAGGGGTGTTTTTGTGTGTGCTGTAATTTTGAAGTAACAAACACCGCGTAAATATAAAATTGAGTTCAATAACAAAATGTGCATAGACATCAATAAATGAATAGAAAAACAAGTAAAAAAGCTGTAAGTTCGGCCGGGCCGAACTTTTAATACCCTCCACCATTTGGTACAAATTTGGCAATTTCCAAAAAAAAAAAATAAAATAAATAAATAAATAAAATTAAAAAAAATCCTTTAAAAATTCTGTTAAAATCTTAAAAATACCGAATGTCTATACGACGACGTATACCTGCATAGGCAACTTTTGTCATAAGTTATTACAACATTTAAATGCGAAACTTGAAGAAAAATTTGTTTGTAATGTAGCTAAAATCATCAAAATACCGAATATAGGGGGTACCGTTGTATGGGGGCTATACGAAGACGTGGACCTGCACAGACAATTTTCTGGCATGGGCTGAAGTATCCATTACGAATTTCAAATGCGAAATTTAAAACAATCCTGGTAAATAATGTCGCTAAAATCATCAAAATACTGAATATCGGGGGGTACGGTATATGGGGCCTATACGAAGACGTGGACCTACATGGTCCATTTTCTGTTTTCTGCTGCAGTATCTATTACGAACTTCAAATACCAAATTTGGAACGGTTCCGTTAAATAATCTCGCTAAAATCATCAAAATACCGAATATCGGGGGAGGTACGGTATATGGGGGCTATAGGAAGACGTGGACCTACATGGCTCATTTTTTGACTTAGGATGTAGTATCCATTACGAACTTCAAATACCAAATTTGGAACGGTTCCGTTAAATAATGTCGCTAAAATCATCAAAATACTGAATATCGGGGGAGGTACGGTATATGGGGGCTATAGGAAGACGTGGACCTACATGGCTCATTTTTTGACTTAGGATGTAGTATCCATTACGAACTTCAAATATCAAATTTGGAACGGTTCCGTTAAATAATGTCGCTAAAATCATCAAAATACTGAATATCGGGGGAGGTACGGTATATGGGGGCTATACGAAGACGTGGACCTGCACAGACAATTTTCTGGCATGGGCTGAAGTATCCATTACGAACTTCAAATGCGAAATTTAAAACAATCCCGGTAAATAATGTCGCTAAAATCATCAAAATACTGAATATCGGGGGGTACGGTATATGGGGCCTATAAGAAGACGTGGACCTACATGGTCCATTTTCTGTTTTCTGCTGCAGTATCTATTACGAACTTCAAATACCAAATTTGAAACAATTCTGGTGAATAATGTCGCTAAAATCATCAAAATACCGAATATCGAGAGTTACCGTTATATGGGGGCTATATGAAAACTTAGACCTACATAACCCATTTACGAACTTAACCTGCCTACTGGCAAAATATACATGTGTGCAAAATGTTAGCCTTCTATCTCAATTTGTTCGAAAGATAGCGTGATTACAACAGACAGACAGACAGACAGACAGACGGACAGACAGACAGACAGACACACAGACAGACAGACGGACATGGCTAAATCGTCTTAGAATTTTACGCTGATCAAGAATATATATACTTTGTTGGGTCTGACGTGAGTATTTCGAGGAGTTACAAACGGAATGACAAAATTAATATACCCTCCATAGTATGGTGGAGGGTATAAAAATGAAATATATATTGAACAATCCCAATTTATTAGTGACTATCATAAAACGTTGGTCATAAAAAAGAGGTAAATATTGTTTGCCTATTTTCTACCTACATAAAGGGTTCTTTTATAATTAAAGTTTGTGGACAGAAAATTTTTCAGGGGATTATTGTTTTTTAATAAGGATTAACATTTTAGATTTTTTTCGTCAATAACCACGAAATGTGAACATTTTGTGTGGACCAATTAGAAGTACCTTTAATATTTGAGTATTCGTCAAGAAATATCGGAAAAGCAGGTAGCGATTGCGCTTTGCCTTCATCACGTGTGTGTCTTTTTCGTTGACAATTGTTTCATAATTGTTGTTGTTTTTATACCCTCCACCATGGGTAGGAGGGTATATTAACTTTGTCATTCCGTTTGTAACACCTCTAAATATTCGTCGTAGACCCCATAAAGTATATATATTCATAATCAGCATAAAATTCTAAGACGATTTAGCGATGTCCGTCTGTCTGTCTGTCCGTCTGTCTGTCTGTCTGTCTGTCTGTCCGTCTGTCTGTCTGTCTGTCTGTTGAAATCACGATAGAGCCCACATTATTTGACGTAGACCTTTGAAATTTGGCACAAGTGTGTGTATTGTCCCTAGGATGGTTGGTATTGAAAATGAGATATATCGGTCCACGTTCTGGTATAGTCCCCATATAACGGTACCTCCCGATATTCGGTATTTTGATGATTTATGCCACATTTTTTCACGGATTTATCTGAAAATTGGTATTTGTAAGTCATGACGGGTCCCTGAGCGTGTGGCAAAACATTGCATGTATAGGTCCACGTTTTGGTATAGCCCCCATATAACGGTACCTACCGATATTCGGTATTTTGATGATTTATGCCACATTTTTTCACGGATTTGTCTGAAAATTGGTATTTGTAGGTCACAACGGGTCCCTGAGCGTGTGGCAAAACATTGCATGTATAGGTCCACGTTCTGGTATAGTCCCCATATAACGGTACCTCCCGATATTCGGTATTTTGATGATTTATGCCACATTTTTTCACTGATTTGTGTAAAAGTTGGTGTTTGTGGGTCATAATGGGTCCTAGTTCGTGTGGCGAAACATTGTAATTATAGGTGCACGTGTTGGTGTAGCCCCTATATAACGGTACCTCCCGATATTCGGCATTTTAATGTTTTTTGCCACATTTCTTCTAATGTTCTTTTACCCTGGGGTGGAGGGTATTAAAAGTTTGGCCCGGCCGAACTTAATGTTTTTTTACTTTTTTATACAACATTTTTGTATGACACACTATTCAACATTCCCTTTTATTGGTCATTACGTATTATGAAGATGGGTTTGAGTCTGACCGACATGACGAGACATCGAGCATTTGGTTGGATGTCACGTACTGTTATGCGTTTGATCAAACAGGACACAACATGACGAGAGTTTTCTCTCCATGACATAAACAGAGAAAATTGTCACATTTGCAACCCTTTAATGTGTATGTTCCTTTACAATAGACCAACTATCTTTAATAGCACTAATAGCCAAGTTTACTGGAATGCTTGGGAACAAGGAAACCACGTCAAATGAAATTAAAATTTCGTCATCTTCAATATGTTGGTTATTAATCCTGGATTTGAAGTCTATTGCATCTTTAATGTTGTATTTTGAATCAACTGTCAATACTTTTAGGATTTTTTGATCTATATCTAGATAACTCATAAGTCGGCGAATTTGTAAATAAACATATTGGTCGTAGTGGTGTTCCCTCCTTATGGATTTTGGGCAATCCATATATCTTTGGTGGTATTGACGTTATATTTATTAAGTTATATTTCACTTTCTCGTCAATTAGTTTTAACTCAAATAATTTTGGAACTAATTTATTGTTTTTCTCTTGTAGTCCTGTTGTCGGGTCTTTTCTTACACGTTTGTAAGTACACATGTCCATTAAAATTGCGTTCATTTTTGAATCATATTCTGTTTTTGACATGGCAACAGTTTTTCCACCCTTGTCTGCATTTAATATTAATAATTCTTTATTTTGTTTCAAAAATTTTGCCGTTTGGTCCACTGTGTTTAGAACAAACCGATCTCTTTTCCCTAATGTCGTTTTCCTTGTGTGGTCATTTATCAGAGTAATAAAATTTATTCTCGCATTCTCTTGTTGTTCTCTGTTATTCAACGTTTGAATTCACTCTTCTCCCTCAGCGATAATATCAAACAAAGGGAACGTCGTTTTTGTTGTTGGCAAAGAGAACCTCGGCCCAAGAGACAGCAACCATTCAACATTGTTGGGTATGTCAGTATCTGTTTTATTTACGAACCATTCCTTGTTGTGTTGTATGTTTAGTTGACAGTGTTGTTGTTGTTTTAATGCGTCTAGTTTGTTGGTATGTATAGATTTCTGTTTTGTGCTTTGAGAGTGAGATTCTCACTTTCTGTGAGTAATATTAAGTCGTCTGCATCTAATTGGTCCCTGAGTTGAGCTTTAATGTTTGTAAGAGTATTTCTCGTAATGTTGGCTTGCTTATGTTTCTGCTGTATTAATAGTTTAAGTACTTTTGTGTGGAAGTTATAGGTGATTGTGTCTAACGATGTTTTTACATTTGTTGGTATTTGTTTATATGTTCTAAATAATTCAAAAACATTCTTTGTGGTGTTGGAAATAAAATTTGGAATTATACCTGCACTTAATGAGGAATATTGCTGTTGATGTTAAGCGTGCTGACTGCCTGTTACTTTTTGAATATTGTTTGATGACATTTTTAGTTTCTTCGTTATATTTTTATTTTATATTTTTATAGACATTCATGTTGAGTATTGTTGTTATTATCGGCGTGCCTTCCGTGTTATTAATTTGTATAGTTATTGTTGACCTTTGATCAATATATTTTCTTCTGGTTTTTCGTTTGGCTCGAGGTCAGAATTTAAAAAAACGGACGAAGTTGTTTTTTTTATATATTAATTTATTTGTCCGATATTTCGACTATCTTCGATACATTTAGTATAAATAAATAAAACAAAACACTATAACGATAATTACATTGAATTTTAACTCTTCTGTTTTTAAGTTCTCTGATGCAGCTTTTCCATACTTTCCTTTTTACTCGAATTTTCCAACTAATTTTTCTTATGCTTTTCGATGACATTTCTATAAATTTGAGCACAATGTTCCGTGTCAGTTTTGTAGTTCATTCGTTTATTAGGAGGTACATTTATAATATGTAGCATTTCTAGCATGTACCTACGTTTGTAGTTATTTTCTTGTGCCAAGATGTCGACATCTTTGAAATTGGGCGTATGTCCTTCTTGTTGGCAATGGACAGCAAGGGCAGTTTTTTGCTCTATGGGTTTAGTTTTTGTCTTTTGTCCGATTTATGAGAGCTAATACGAGTTTTTAATTTAGATTTTGTTGTCCCAACATATGCCTTCTGACATACTTTTAATTGTTATGTGGAGCTCTACTAAATTAGCAAAGTGGTGTAGGGTATCATAAAATCGGCCCCGCCCGACTTTAGGACTTTCTTTACTGGTTTGAAATTGTATATGTACAAAGCTGTTGTTATTGAAGATAATGATTTAGTTTTTTAAGAAAAATTTTTGATATGGAAATATTACAATTATAAAAATATGTATTAATTTTTACATATATAAAAATAAGAAAAAAATTCTTTGATCCGGAATTGAACCCGCATATTTAAGGTACTTAATTGAGTAACACATTTTCCTGTATTAGTACCTATCCATTTTTAAATTCATAGGTACAGTTACATTTGTATTGAAATTATTCAATATATTTCTAGTATATTTATAATCTTACATATAACATTTATAATATACTTGCTGAACCCGTTGCCCTTCGCTCTTCTTTTGAGTTTGTATGCATTCAAAATGTTATATTTTATATATAAGAAAATATGATCCTACACTGGTGGCTAAAACTAAAGCAACTAAAATCGCAAAGACAAAAAATAATTTTGAAAGAAAAATAATATATGGAGTACTAAAGTAATCCAAATTTTGCTTGGTCAAAACTAACCACATGTTGTAATCACGCTACAGTCTAAACGAATTAAGATAGGAGGCTAAAATTTTGCACAGATCTCTCTTTTGTCTGCAGGCAGGTCAAGTTCGAAGATGGGCTATATCGGTCCACTATATCGTATAGCCCCCATATAACGGTACCCCCCGATATTCGGTATTTTGATGATTTTACCCACATTTTTCAACGGAATTGTCTGAAAATCCACACAAGGAGTTCCTTGTGGGTACTTTATACCTCGGCAGAGAATTATCTATATAGGTCCACAATATCGTATAGCCCCCATATAGCGGTACCCCCCGATATTCGGTATTTTGATGATTTTACCCACATTTTTCAACGGAATTGTCTGAAAATTCACACAAGGAGTTCCTTGTTGGTACTTTATACCTCGGCAGAGAATTATCTATATAGGTCCACAATATCGTATAGCTCCCATGTAACGGTACCCCCCGATATTCGGTATTTTGATGATTTTACCCACATTTTTGAACGGAATTGTCTGAAAATCCACACAAGGAGTTCCTTGTGAGTACTTTATACCACGGCAGATAATTATTTATATAGGTCCACAATATCGTATAGCCCCCATATAACGGTACCCCCCGATAATCGGTACTTTGCTGATTTTACCCACATTTTTCAACGGAATTGTCTGAAAATCCACACAAGGAGTTCCTTGTGGGTACTTTATACCTCGGCAGAGAATTATCTATATAGGTCCACAATATCGTATAGCCCCCATATAACGGTACCCCCCGATATTCGGTATTTTGCTGATTTTACCCACATTTTTGAACGGAATTGTCTGAAAATCCACACAAGGAGTTCCTTGTGGGTACTTTATACCTCGGCAGAGAATTGTCCATATAGGTCCACGATATCGTATAGCCGCCATGTAACGGTACATTTTCGATATTTTTATGATTTTACCCACATTTTTCAACGGAATTGTCTGAAAATCCACACAAGGAGTTCCTTGTGGGTACTTTATACCTCGGCAGAGAATTATTTATATAGGTCCACAATATCGTATAGCCCCCATATAACGGTACCCCCCGATGTTCGGTATTTTGATGATTTTACCCACATTTTTGAACGGAATTGTCTGAAAATCCACACAAAGAGTTCCTTGTGGGTACTTTATACCTCGGCAGAGAATTATCTATATAGGTCCACAATATCGTATAGCCCCCATATAACGGTACCCCCCGATATTCGGTATTTTGATGATTTTACCCACATTTTTTTCAACGGAATTGTCTGAAAATCCACACAAGGAGTTCCTTGTGTGTACTTTATACCTCAGCAGAGAATTGTCCATATAGGTCCACAATATCGTATAGCCCCCATATAACGGTACCCCCCGATAATCGGTACTTTGCTGATTTTACCCACATTTTTCAACGGAATTGTCTGAAAATCCACACAAGGAGTTCCTTGTGGGTACTTTATACCTCGGCAGAGAATTATCTATATAGGTCCACAATATCGTATAGCCCCCATATAACGGTACCCCCCGATATTCGGTATTTTGATGATTTTACCCACATTTTTGGACGGAATTGTCTGAAAATCCACACAAGGAGTTCCTTGTGAGTACTTTATACCACGGCAGAGAATTATTTATATAGGTCCACAATATCGTATAGCCCCCATATAACGGTACCCCCCGATGTTCGGTATTTTGATGATTTTACCCACATTTTTGAACGGAATTGTCTGAAAATCCACACAAAGAGTTCCTTGTGGGTACTTTATACCTCGGCAGAGAATTATCTATATAGGTCCACAATATCGTATAGCCCCCATATAACGTTACCCCCCGATATTCGGTATTTTGATGATTTTACCCACATTTTTGAACTGAATTGTCTGAAAATCCACACAAGGAGTTCCTTGTGAGTACTTTATACCACGGCAGAGAATTATTTATATAGGTCCACAATATCGTATAGCCCCCATATAACGGTACCCCCCGATAATCGGTACTTTGCTGATTTTACCCACATTTTTCAACGGAATTGTCTGAAAATCCACACAAGGAGTTCCTTGTGGGTACTTTATACCTCGGCAGAGAATTATCTATATAGGTCCACAATATCGTATAGCCCCCATATAACGGTACCCCCCGATAATCGGTACTTTGCTGATTTTACCCACATTTTTCAACGGAATTGTCTGAAAATCCACACAAGGAGTTCCTTGTGGGTACTTTATACCTCGGCAGAGAATTATCTATATAGGTCCACAATATCGTATAGCCCCCATATAACGGTACCCCCCGATATTCGGTATTTTGCTGATTTTACCCACATTTTTGAACGGAATTGTCTGAAAATCCACACAAGGAGTTCCTTGTGGGTACTTTATACCTCGGCAGAGAATTATTTATATAGGTCCACAATATCGTATAGCCCCCATATAACGGTACCCCCCGATATTCGGTATTTTGATGATGTTAGCCACGCTTTTCAATGGAATTGTCTTAAAATCAACACAAGTAGTTCCTTGTGAGTACTTCACCCCCTGAGAGAGAATTATCTATACAGGCCCACGATATCGTATATCCCCCATATAACGTTACCTCCCGACATTCGGTATTTTATGATTTGACCCACATTTTTCATCGGAATTGTCTGAAAATCCACACAAGGAGTTCCTTGTGGGTACTTTATACCTCGGCAGAGAATTATCTATATAGATCCACGATATTGTATAGCCCTCATATAACGGTACCCCCGATATTCGGTATTTTGATGTTTTTAGCCATATTTTTCAACGGAATGGTCACAAGGGGTTCTTTGTACACAAGGGGTTCTTAGTGAGCACTTTACCCACCGACAGAGAATTCTCTATATAGGTTAACGATAACGTATAGCTCCCAT